CATTGCGAAAAGCTCTGAAATGCGATTACCGCGAAAATACGACAGTATACGACAATGGCCCTGTCCTGTATAAATGTTTAAGGAAAGGGATTGAAATAGGCTTAAAACTTGTATTCCCATCTCATATATAATATGTATTTATATTGAAGATTATGGAATAAATTGTTTAAGGAAAAGTAAGAAAATTGTCAATTGCAGTTTCCGGTGTCAAAACCCAGAAAAAATCCAGACGTGTTTTGATACAGTTTGAAGAGTGTGTTTGGATATTCAAGACCTTTAATGGCAGATTGCTTTTTAACTTGTTACGTTTTTCCAATGTCGGCTAAAGGATATTTGATACCATCCTTTACACTTGACTGCATTCTGTTTTATAGCAATACCCAGTCTTCCTGTTGTCGACTATTTATTGTTGTTGCGAAATGTCTTCTCGTGAGGTGTGTTCGTGGCATGCAGTATGTATGATATGAATATTTCCCTGTTTGTTTACTGTACGTTTGTGTTGTATTTATGTGTTGATACACTTACCCTTGACTTACCCACACTCCCAAAACAGCAGAAATATGGAAATTATTTTTATTTAATTACTTTATAATATAATGGAACCCGTGCAATAACATGCTGATTTAGGAATTGAAATGGTCTATACTTAAAGTCTATGGTGTATTTTTATTCATCGTTCAGCTTACAGTATCTTCTGATGCTGAAACCATAGCGACACGTATTGTATCTCTTACACAGGCCTTTCATCGTATTGTAGTACGGACTAGTATAAGAATCAGAGGTGATTATCACATTCAATGCCTCCTCTGATTTTAACTCGACAGTCTGGCTTACTGCTGATGGAGCTAAAGAGAAGATCTGTCTAACTGAGCGGGATATTGCGGCTAGCATTTACCAGGTTCCTTGTACCATTTTCCTTTATTCTACCTCATGGAAGTTTTCTCGTCCTCGTGTTTCTATCGATGCTAGTGAGTGTATTGTTATTTCCGAGTTCTAAAATGAGTGCTTATGAAAGAAATAATCATTATCTATTACAATGACTTCGCTAGTATTCGAACCCAAAACCTCTGGTTTACTAGCCTTACTCTCAACTGATGGAGGTGATGAGATCTCTCTATGCCAGCGATATATATTGCAACTAATATAATATGAATATTTAAAGATGTCTATTTAAGTTTTAATATCTCTTTAACTTTAAACAATGTATCTTGTAAGTAAATAAGATGATTGATAAACAAAGAAAATGTCTTAATTAATGAACAAGATGATTAATTTGCCAAGTACTGTATCAAAGTTGCTTACTAAATAAAAGACAACTTGTCTGGTCGTCCAAGCTGTGGCGTCAGAACGCCGGAAGTCATTCTGTATAGCCAACTGATTTTCTGACATGTTCGGAACCACTCAAAACAAAAGATATATCGTCATTGTAAATATTACAACAAGGCTGAGTACAGAAGTAATCACATTACAAGAATTATATATAGATATACTGTATATTGTTTCACAAGTTGTGTAATGGGACACAATCCGTGATACTTACCATTAAACATATACGGCAGTTCTCCATTTTTCTATTGATATAGGTGACGCGGAAATGACGAGGAACCTATTTATAACGACAATATAGGGCGTGGAAAAACCTATCTATTAATATCTCAAGATTGCTTATTATAGATTTTGTGGAGTTATATGTAGGGAAGATCGGCTGACGTCGTTTTAAAAACAGGAACCGGAAGTATATAAGCCATTCTTCTAAAATAGCAGAAGTCATTGAAATGATAAACCTTCTTTAGTGTATGGAAATTCCAATACCTATATTGTATATATTAACTTCAAACAAAATATATCATTTTAAAAAAAGTTTGTTTTCGCGGTAAGTTTCTGTTTCTTAACGTCTGTATATTAAGAACAGCATGGAAACATCATATTATCAAGACATTTAAACAAATTAAAACATATAATTCCCGTGTTCGTTATACAATCTCAAGAGGCCCATAAGGCTTGTATCACCCGGTTTTATTACTATCCATTTTCTCATTGTCTCTCTTCTTAAGTGAGTTAGTCCGACTGTTTTAACGGAGGTCCCTTATGTTTAATGACACTACCAACCAAACATAGACGGAATACTGGCATTCCTTCAAAAGGAGAGAGACTTCCAAGAATTTGCTCTTTTACCCATATTAGGCGCCGCCCCTTAAACCCCCTTCATCAAATGGTTATTCAGACCAAATTACTGAATCCTGGTTTTCCTTCAGCAGAATAAGTATTTTAAAGACATTTCTATATATCCCCTATTGGACCCCACGTCTCCAGCTCTAAGGACAAAACAGCAGTGTGTGTATTATGTATTTTAATCAACTGTCTGGTTCTACTGTATCGATCTTTTAAGTTGTATTAAAACGTGTTTTTCACATCTGAAATGTACATAAAACCTATCGAATTTTTTATCATGCTGGCGATAAAATTACAAACTATATCTGTCCTCCTAAGACTAGCAGTCATGGTTACAGAATTAAGTAAAACAAAATCGTTTCTTTAATATTTCCTTTTATTATACATAAATATCTTGGTGATGTAAAGAAATTAACAGATATTATATTTAGTAAAACTTAAACAAGATAAAGCATTAAACATGTTAACTTCAACTCAACAAATACACGTAATATCCTAATAATTGTGGACTGCTTGGTTTAAAGAGGCAAGTATTTAACAATATCAACAATCAAAGGCTGTTATTACACAGGAAAGTGTTACAGTGGTCCAAGATTTCCGTGCACCAAGAAATGATCAAAACAAACCAGATAAGTGAAAGAAATATCAAAATTTAAACATGCATGGATAGTGCTACGATTAAACAGGTGATCAGGTGGCACAGTGGTAACACACCCACCTTTCATCTACATGATCGAGGTTCGATTCAGAACGCATATAAAAATGTATGGGGGTCACCCATATAACTATGCGGATTTCCTCTGGGTACTCTGGATACTCACATAGTAAGACCCCTTGCACGCTTCAATCCATGGTAACGACTTTGTATGGCTATTGTAAAATAAGTTTATCTTTGTAATTCAGCAATAATTATGAAACAATCTTGAAATTTGGAGATATTATTTCCACTCCACGTGTATGTTTCATACACAATCCATTTGCCTCATCTACAAGTATTTTTCTTTTCTATGTAATTATTGTCCATTACATTTGTACAAATTAATTAATCGTACATAAAATCATAAAAAAACATACATAAAAACATTTTTTTTGTATTGATAATCAGTATCTCTGAATCGCATGCTACCACGAAGTGACAAGAATGGTCTTAAATCTACCAACGAACCGACTACATGATCAGCGTACAACGTTCAATTAACATTTATTGCACAATCATAATTTGTCTTATCCAAATAGTTTGCCACCATCTAAGGCAACAATGCGGGGGGGGGTCTACATATTTACAATATCTTAATTCAAACTCAAGGAAACAAACAGGAAAAGATTTACACGCAGATCACTTACAATGTTTAACAGGAATATGCGCAGGTGTTCCGGAAAGGTAAGCGTATTCTGCTACATCGACGACATAGGACATGTAGGTCTTGGTCGATTCTGATAAGTAATGACAGGATCACGAAGAAACGGCAAATAATATATAAAAAAAAACTCTGACTCAGCTTGTCGTTATCATCGACGAAGCAGAATACGCTTATTCTTCCGGAACATCTATTTGTATCATCCTTTAACTTTTTCAGTAGTCTCCTATAAATCTTTCTTTTGTTTATGTTTTGCTCTAGTTTTATGGAATTGCATGTTTTTCAAATCCCAAAGTAACAATCCCAAAACACTAAATTAGGATTCTTAGAATGTACCATGATAAAATCGAAGGTGATGCACTGACAATAATGTTGTTGGAAGTTGTAAAAGTTTTACACAATTAAATATATTTAAACTAAACGTTTTATAATAACTACACGTTAATTATCCTTCTCAAACAAGACGGGAAAAAATTGTAGAAGCATATCAATAAAACTAGACGCCTTTTATGACAGTGGCACTCTTCTTCTAGATATTAATGTTTTAGTTGATCTTTAATCCTTACGTACAACCAAGCAAAAAGGTTAGTTGGAGCCCTCGATATTCATGATATAATGTTTAATGTGAACGTCGTACTTCGAAAGTATAAACCTTATTTTACAAGTTCGTTCTCGGTCAGCAGTTGTATATTAACATGATTCAGATTTCATCCAAACACTTTACCAATACATGATTGCAAATGTAATTAACATCAAATTCATTTTCTTTACTTAAAAAGTAATAAGTTGTCACAATTGTAATTTCACGCCGGATTTAAGATGTACGCTTAATAAAAATTTAATCTATATTGTAAATGATTTTGTTCAATTATCAACGAATTTCGTAACATTTTTTGAGATAAAACAGCATGCAACAGCAATTTCATGACTTGCCGAATCAGTATGTAAAATTGGGAGACTTTCTTGAATAAACGTATAAAGGAGAGATAAAACGTAAAAATCACTATACAAAACTTCAAATATGAGGACTTATGATGATCTTAAAACCAAATGTAAACAAGACAGAGACACAAGAAATTAATATTTAAAATATCACAATGTCCATTACCAGGTAAAAAATATATCAAATTAGGCATGTGTGACAAAAATGAAACTTTACATAAAAATATCTCCGAGGTAATTGATACCAATTATTGGGGACATCTTGATCATTGTGTACACACAAACAATTATTAATCATCTGCTATCTTAATAAAATTGCGTAAAAAATGGAAACCTTATTTTTTAATTAAATTTCAAAGAGTTAAAACGACCTGGGAATTTTCATAACAAAATTGAAATATGTTACATTTCTCATACTCCACACAACTACTGGACAAACTGTAATATATTAAAATGTGATCTGCATTAGTTCATCACAGTGATCACAAGAGATGTATGGAACATCACTACAGTGATCACAAGAGATGTATGGAACATCACTACAGTGACCACAAGAGATGTATGGAACATCACTACAGTGATCACAAGAGATGTATGGAACATCACTACAGTGATCACAAGAGATGTATGGAACAGCACTACAGTGATCACAAGAGATGTATGGAACATCACTACAGTGACCACAAGAGATGTATGGAACAGCACTACAGTGATCACAAGAGATGTATGGAACAGCACTACAGTGATCACAAGAGATGTATGGAACATCACTACAGTGATCACAAGAGATGTATGGAACAGCACTACAGTGATCACAAGAGATGTATGGAACATCACTACAGTGATCACAAGAGATGTATGGAACATCACTACAGTGACCACAAGAGATGTATGGAACATCACTACAGTGATCACAAGAGATGTATGGAACAGCACTACAGTGACCACAAGAGATGTATGGAACAGCACTACAGTGACCACAAGAGATGTATGGAACAGCACTACAGTGATCACAAGAGATGTATGGAACAGCACTACAGTGACCACAAGAGATGTATGGAACAGCACTACAGTGATCACAAGAGATGTATGGAACAGCACTACAGTGATCACAAGAGATGTATGGAACAACACTGTACAAGTAAGAGGGTGGCAAATCAGCACTCCCCCCAAAAATTATGGGAGAAAAATTGACATCTAAAAATACTATTGAAATGTACATACATGTAGTTCAAGAATTGTTAACAATGAGATATAAAAAATTCCATTGATTTATGTAATAAATGAAGTCAAAAACATTTCAGCAATCTAATGGAAATATAGAATTTAAAAGGATTTGATTTATCAGACAACAGCAGTGTACCTTAGAAGTCCTTTTTCTGGGGAAGATATAATTTTTGTAAATTTCTTTGTTTAATCGCACCATGCATCATTTAGTTACTTTCCCATGACACATTAAGAGGATAATATATCAGTAAATATGATGTGATCAATAAGATAATTCCAGACATGACATCCTGCTCTATAACAGTTACTTTCTCCTAACATACCCACAATACAACTAGCATATGTACAATGTACCAAACACTACATACTTTCTGTCATTTAACCACAGAATACATACGTCCTACTAACATACGTACCTCAGAACACACACATCTTGCTAACATGTCCCTTAATACAGACTTTGAACATACATACTCCACAATATATACTTTCTACCAACATACTCAAACATACGTAATTTTTAGTACCCTTACCCACAATACATCTTTTCCTCTAGCATTTTACATACTTCTAGCTTTATCTACATAATAATACATACAAAACTGAAAAAATGATGTTATAATCTTAGATAAAACATACTATAACTTGACTGGAATGTTCAGTTGATATCAGGTAACAGTCAAATTACTGAAAAATAAGAGAAGTGATATAAAAGCCTCTAAGTACCATACAGAGCCATGTTTCCGAACAGTTTAGCATGATCAGAATGATAAGAATTGTGTTACCTGATAAATGAGTTTCATACCTATTAGACAACATAGAAATCTATTCTTCTGTACAACAATCTATTTTTCTGTACAACAATCTATTCTTCTGTACAACAATCTATTCTTCTGTACAACAATCTATTCTTCTGTACAACAATCTATTCTTCTGTACAACAATCTATTCTTCTGTACAACAATCTATTCTTCTGTACAACAATTTGTCACAATATTCAGTTCAGTACTGTTAAAGTTTTCCTTTCGCTGGACTAAATTTTCGCGGTTTAAGTAAATTTGAAAATTTCGCGTATCAATTTTTGACCCAATATCCAACAGATATTTATCTCAAATGTAACGAAAGATACACACCGAACACATAGAAACCTCTGAAAACAACAGGTACATGTGTGTATAGTTCGTTAAATGTGTATCTGATGACAATCTTACTTAACACATACAAGTAATGTAATGGAGAGATCTACTTTAAATGAACATATAAACAAAACACAATCATACATATCTGCACTCAGTGAACTTTATGATAAAAACAAATATAAAAATATCAAAGTTCACAATTCAATATAAATTGAGCAGTAGTAAAGGAATGAAACATTTTCAGGTAAAAATTAAGCATAAGTGCTGGTCTCCACGATTCTGACTACATCTCACTCTATATATAGCTGTTCTTAGTGTAAATTTATAACAAAGATTTCTTGAACAACAAATTCAATTTGTAAAAGTCAGGAACAATTTTGTTCACATACAGAAGCTTTAAAAAATGTTTTCCTTAAAACTCAACAGCAAATTATACAGTTTTGAGATTTAAAACAGATGTGTTTTTAAACATTAATAGAATGTTTTTAAACATGAATATTTTTTCAAATCTTATATAATAGGAATGTATCCGATATTGGAATGGTAATACTCCTATATATAAGTGTTTTGTATTCTTACATACAGAATACATTTATATAACAATTTACAGTGTAATGTAGGGTCTGCAGGGCCCAGATGGTAATGGCATCGGCCCATGTTTATCACCAGCCCTCCACCTCAGGGGCACGGTTCAAGGCCTACATACGGCAGTTCTGGTGACAGGTCAGCCTAGAATATCCTTAAATAACCATAATTGGTAATAAAAATTAAGATGATAAAAAGTGTGATGTTCTGAATTTTTAAAAGCTCTGCTTTATCAAGAGACAGTACATTTATTGAAATGAAATTGAATATTCTCAATAATGTAGTATGAGGCAAAGGAAAGCAGGCACATGAGGATACGTTTATCAGATTTAATACAAAACATGGGTAACACCATCCAAACCAATTTTCACCATAACTGCCATTCACAAGACGAAGAATCATAAGTTTCAACATTTGTTTATCACAAATATACCCTGTTAAACACTTCATATTGATTTGTCTCACGAACTTCACAAAGGTTAAAAATCAATGGTGTTACAGTTATACTGTATACAACAAATACAATCGTTTTTAATTCAAAGAGACATGACAGTCATACACACAAGTGCATCAAAAGGAGTAAACAAATTGAGGGTTTAGGAATGTTACACAGTAACTCACATCTTGAATTTAAACTATGTAATATAATTAAAACAACAAAATTGAGTCGCTGACAAAAAAACCCTTTACAATGTATTTAATTTCGTTTCAAGTCTATTTGTATGCAAAATACAACTTTTTAAAAAATATGACTTACGTCATAAATATGGATTGTCTTGTCTTTAGCTTAAAAACACTTTTACTTTCAAAAAAGTATTCTGAAATATGTCATTGCATGATTATTTTATTCTGTGTTAAAGTCTGATTGCATGTACATTGAAATAACACAAAATCACCAGACTTTCACAAATCACATCAATATGGTTGTCAAAGATATCCTGTTCTGTATACTGGTATATATCATGTGCTGAGTTTTACCACAGTTTTACATCAGGAACAAAGAATTGTTTCTATGGCAAGGTTCCAGTAATTTATATTTCTAATGTTATAAATTTCAAGAAATGCATTGATGATTAAAAATCAACCTAAAATTATTTTATAAACAGAACTCGCCCTGGACATAAATCTGCACCAAAATTTTCAAGATTTAAGCTCCATATACATGTATATACACTGCCATCAAAAGAATTAAAACAAGCTATTCTGATTTTTATGTAACTGGTTAAGCCATAAAAAATTGACATTGTTGAAATTTCCTCAAAATAATGATTTTGCCAAGGGGAATTAAACAAGACTTAAAATCTGTTGTGTTTCCATGTAGTATCAGTGGTAGGGTCATTCATTTATTTACAAAAATTATGCAATAGTAACTCTGATAAAAATAATTACTTCACAATTCCTTCAAATGACAAAATGCTATCAGTTTAAAGAAATTTAAACACAAAAACACAAACAATGACAAAAAAAGGATAAAAATAAACAAAAATAGAATTAAAAAGAATCAAATGAAACATACAGTATTGCATAAATACCACTACTGGTTTTATGGTCTCCTATCTAAGTATCCGAGAAAATAGACTATATATAGAAGCCTTATTCAATGAAAAATTATAGTAATCATTATTGAAATCAGTTTTCTGAATTTCGAAAATAGTTGTCTGAAATAAAGTCAAGGAATTTCTGTCTGGGAGTACTTATACAGTAACAGAAAAATGAAGTTAAAAATATTTTATCTAATTTATTACACTTTATGTGTATATCTGAAATACACATCATGGTTATTCCAGCAAATATCTACTTGACCCCAGTACTCAAAAATAAATTACTTCTTCTGATGGTTTGGATTCACGCATATTACTTCTGAACAGTTTATCAATATAATTGTATTGGTAATATCCTAAACAAAATCTGGATTCCCAGGGTGAGACAGATGTTTCACTGAAAAAACCAAAACCTGATGTCTTTGGGTGGGAAAGATGTTAAACAAAACTCGGTGTCTTGGGTTAAGAAAAATGTTTAATGGAATAACCCTAGATAAAACCTAGTGTCCTGGGTTGGGGTAGACTTTTTACTGGAATAACCCTTGACAACACCTAGTGTCCTGGGTTGGGGTAGATGTTTTACTGGAATAACCCTTGACAACACCTAGTGTCCTGGGTTGGGGTAGACTTTTTACTGGAATAACCCTTGACAACAACTGGGTTTGGGTAGACTTTTTACTGGAATAGTCCTTACTGTAATGCTTGCATCAGTGATTAACTATTATAAAATTTTCAAATGATAAGACTAAAACTTCACTTATAGTAAATCTCTATACATACAGCATTTTGAAAATCATGTGAAAATTATCATATATTATTATATCAAAGGAGATAATTTATTGACATCTTGACCTGAATTCCAAATAAATACAGATATATGTATAAATATCATTATCATTATTTCTCAAAATCCATCGGGACTGCTGCCAGGTCGTCTGAAGTCACTATTGGCGTAATACCAGTCGCCGTCACTCGTGATTGCATTCACTACAGCTATTGAGCTTGACAATGTTAAATTGTGTCCCAGCTCTGCCAGGCCATTAATGTAATACTGCAACAAAAGTATTGACATATATATATATATATATATATATATATATATATATGAAAATTGATAAAAAACACACAAGAAAAAGTTAAGTTAGCATAGTTACCTTGCACTGAGGAGCAGCTAAGCTGTGAAAATGTTATGCAAAATGCTAACTTAACTTTTTCTTGTGTGTTTTTTTAACAATTTTCTTTAGATTATCACTTGCGTATCGTCATTAACTATATTTTATATACATTTCAAAGTTACTTTATTGATTTGGTTTGATCACAAATCCTTATATATGTAGTTCTCGTTAAAAATTTAATAAATCTTGTAAAAGAAATATTAAAAATATTTGAATTTAAATACCCCAATAATTAACGATACATTTATTATTTTGAAGTTTAACAACTTTGTACATACTTCAGGTATTGCTATTACAACATTATGATCCCTATAACCGATACTGAATAACAATAGAATTTACTGTAAAATCATTTATTTTAGTGAGGTATTTATTTTCATTGAATCCATGGGGTACGCCTGATCCTTGATTCTCTATGTCCAAAAAAATGTCCAAAAATACCATATGAAAGTTGATATGGATTATGTAACAAGTTAATTTTGTGATCAAGAATTGTCCATGAAATCAAGTGCCAACGACAAAAAACATTTTTTTGAAAAAGAACAAAAATTTGGACCCCACAAAAATACAAGATTTAAGATTAGTAGAGCAAGATTAATTAGCCTGACATATCAGAACACTACATACCTCTGGAAAATTTGACTCATAGGAAATTTCTTGAGGTAACAACTGGTGATGTATTCGAGGAGAGTCTACTGCCTGTTTCACATCATCACCAAACCAAAGAAAGTTCGTCATCACCTGAAATGTCAAAAAAATAGAAATTACCCTTATACCTGGCAATTCATTTCACAATGCTGTTTTTTATAAGGTGACCTTGATAATAGATTTGACATAACCTTGAATGTAAGAAAACTTTGACCTATAAAATCTGCTATAACCTTGAATGTAAAGGACATTGACCTTGACTTATGATGTTTGCTACAACCTTGAATGTTACAAACATTGACGCCGACCTTTAAGGTTCTACATATAAATCTTAAATGTTAAAAAAATTCACCTTGAACCTTCAGGTTTTCTAAAACTTTGAATGTTATATACTTTGATCTTGTCTTTTAAAGTTCGCTATAACCTATAAGGTAAATGTGGAAAACACTGGCACAAAGCAGATTCAATGTAGATAATTGTTTTCTGTAGGTACATGACAAACTAAGACCACTAACATCCTCTGAATATCAGAAGCAAGATCAAAATATACAGAAAATTTATGCTCTTTAAATAACATGATAAAATTTTAATAGAACTTTGAAAATTTTTATGTAAAAATATGTATAAGTGCTGTACACAAATAAAGAAAACATGGAGTTTTAATATCTGTCTTTCTATACACATCCTGTAGAGATTGTGAAACTCTCTTCAGTCTGTACAATATAATATACATTCAGAATTCTACAGAACATTTTATCTTGGAAAAAAAAAAATCAATCTATATTGTACAACAATATTCTTCAGTTTTTCCCCCAAACAAATTGTCCTTTCATCTCACTGAATTGTAAGAGATGCAATTAATAACAGCATGAAAAATATCAAATCACGTTAAGTAAATGAATTGAGAAAGATTTTGAAAAAATTCAAATGAGCTTTAAATTCAAACAACATGTATACACCTAAATTATAAACCAATTGTATCCAACACAATGTACGTTTGTTTAAAGTGAAAAACACATAAATGTTTTGTAGATAAAATTAGATATGACAACATGCCTTCTCCTCTCTTTCAAATTGAACAGTTTGACAGGTAAGAAAACATCAAGCTTTGAAACAAAGTTTTTGGTTTAATTTCTTTCCATAACCAAGTAACTTACATAGGCAGTAGCAGTAGTAATCCGTGTTCCACCAGCAGCCCCTAAAACCATTTTTATCTTGTTGTCCTTAGTGACGAGAATAGCTGGACTCATTGATGATACAGGCCTTTTCCCAGGCTTGATAAAATTACTTGGTGAGGGTGCAACGCCAAAATAATTAGTTTGATTTGGTGTGGAAAAATCATCCATTTCATCATTAAACAAGATCCCAGTTCTTGATCCCAACACACCAGATCCAAACCTAAACAGACAAAATACAAAAAAAGTTGACTAAAAGTAACCAAAACTTGCTGGGTATCCCTTAATTATTCATTGATCTGATGCATCACCACTTTGTGGTTTAGAAATGGCAGTGAGTTAATGTCTTTCACCTCAGAGTCTGGCTTTCAATCCCCAAATTGGATGTGAAAAAGGATGTGTTCCACATGATTTTCTTCGACCTGCATCATTTGAAACCCTGTGTTTAATTCACAGAAAAATCATGCTAATGAGAACAGGCTTTTGAATATTGAATAAACTGTGACATGTAAATACCATGGGTTGGGGATGCATTAATATTGCTATTCAGAAATGGAAAATTCACAATAGGGAAACAGAAATCATCATACTTATCATACAGCTTGGTGAAATGCTATCTATGTAGTCTTTGTTGTAGGAGAAGATTGATATAAGTAGCTGATGCAACAGCGTCTATTGGATCAATCATAATACAAAATATCAACTGCACAAGAATATATTAATGATGTACCTTAAATTGACAGTAGAAGTGACAGACACTGCCAAGTTATCATTGCCAACAATGGAAACATGTGCTGTACTTGTCCTATAACGGTCATAGTATGTAGGGCCATAATACTGCCAACCATGGGTGGTGTTGTCCCAGATCATCTTGCGTGTGACATCAGCATAGCCCATAGCAGTCAAATTAGCAACCAGCTGAAATATAAAAAGGATAGGAAATTAGCAACCAGCTGAAATATAAAAAGGATAGGAAATTAGCAACCAGCTGAAATATAAAAAGGATAGGAAATTAGCAACCAGCTGAAATATAAAAAGGATAGGAATTAGCAACCAGCTGAAATATAAAAAGGATAGGAAATTAGCAACCAGCTGAAATATAAAAAGGATAGGAAATTAGCAACCAGCTGAAATATAAAAAGGATAGGAAATCAGCAACCAGCTGAAATATAAAAAGGATAGGAATTAGCAACCAGCTGAAATATAAAAAGGATAGGAAATTAGCAACCAGCTGAAATATAAACGATAGGAAATTAGCAACCAGCTGAAATATAAAAAGGAAAGTCAATATTCCTAATTTGAATATAACAAGAGGTTCATAGAACTTTCAAAGCTCTACAGATATTTAAAAAAATCATTTCTATTACAAAGAGTTTCCTGGCAGAAACTGAGGAGGAAAAATTTAAATATTTGAACCTATAATTCCTCTAATTTGTCCATGTCCCCCTAGCTCCTTCAGGCCAGGTGAGCTGTTTAAATTTATTTGTGAAAAGCAGACAATGAAATAAAACACAACATGTACAGAACATAAAGCAATGTTTTGATGTAGAATTAAGAAATACTTCACCTATTGTAAGTGAACATGATTTGATTATCAGGAGGGAATGCTTATGTATTAAGTCAACATGATGTTACCATATGATGTCATGTGACTTATCTTATCCAATCAGGTTTATGTAGATAAATAGGAGTTGTACCATTCTACAAATATACATACACCTTCAACATGACGGACAAACTTCGGATCTCCCATGTCTGTACGCTTGGCGTATGCAAATTTGAAAGCCTCCGTAATGCGATGATAAGCAAGAAGTTTATCTTCTTTTTTCCATTTCTGTCCTGAAGCAATTTCATAACCTAGAGAAAGTATACATCAGTTTTATTATTGTATATGACAGATTAAACTAAGTCAGAAAAATGTCTGTAATATTCATATTGATCATGAAAATCAGTTGAAAGTACTTCATTATCTCATTGATACAAAATTCTCTTTTTATCATACCATGCACATTTCCATTACCAAGATGATTTTTTTCAACTTCCATTTAGAGAAACTGAATCATATCTCAAGAGATTTTCACCCAATGACAAAAAAATGTTATTTGTTTTCATAAGATAATGCAAACATATAAAACAACACTGTTTATTCCATGTATTTCAGTGAAACTTTTGCAATTTTGTCAATTTTATACTCTTTTCAAAAAGTAAAATATTGAAAAAATGAAAAATTGAAAAATAGCGTAAAAGCTTTTTTTGTATAAGACCATATAACCCCTTAAGCTCGCCCTCCATTATAATGTAGGACATTTACCATCTAATATATTCATGATGTAGATGAGAACTGGACCTCCAGATGGTGCCCCAGAAGAGTACAATGTGCTACCATCTCTCATAGTCGACTTTAAACTTTTACTCATAAGTGCCTGGTAGCTCTTCAAGTCCTGCGCTGTGATTAGTGAGTCTGAAAATGTCCAAACAACTTAGATGTGTGGTCAGAGTTTGGTTTCTAGACACATACAATAGCAGCCACAACTGTTATAAACAACTTTGATCCAAGTTAAGTTTTATAGTTGTTTTACATTCTATAATTAGCCAGGACCATTTAAGGACGTGCCAGGTTTGTTTGGTGGAGGAAAGTCGAAGTTCCCACAGTTCCTTTAGAAAAACCACCAACCTAAGACAAGTACCTGGCAACTGCCCAACAAAGGCCTAGAAACATAACCCAGAGGAGGAGGGCTAGTAATAAAGACATTTAGATTCCTTAACGGCTTGGCCAACACAGTCTATTTGAACCAGGTAGTTTTTCAGCATATCATATATATATATGTATAATAATTTAAAAGTTCTTAATTTGTCACAAGGAGATTTTAGGACATTATCAGTTTCTGCATGCATCCACAATAATTACTAATATATACAGCGTTAAGAAATTACAACTAGCCTAATCCTATTTTAGTGTTAAACTTTCTCCACAAAAAATGCTAAAATAAAATACACTAAAATACAATTTACAGTATTTTCTTTATGTCACAGAGGTATGTAATTATTTATAAATGCCTCTAGATCTGAGATTGAACCTGAGGAGATTAATTTACCTAATTTTCCTGGCAAACACCCCACTGAATGATTTCAACAAACATTCTCCATGTAACTATAACAAGAAAGAACTTTTCAAGTTTCTTTAGGGCCACAATGATGCTAACTAAGGTTAATAGGATGTAGTTAACTATATATTACATACCTTTATCTTTGAGGTCAAGTAGTATGTCTCTGGACAGGTTACCAGTATAAAAACTCTCGGCTCCCTCTGTTGCTATGGTTCGAAGTGTCTTTCCTAATGCTGGAAGTTTCATCATTTCCCCAGTTTTGTAAAAATCTCCAGTAGCTGGGTCTGTGTAAGTTTTACTGTAAAAAAACAAAATGAGCAGAATTTCATGAATTTTTACCCAAGAACACAGGAAATGTGATATATTTATTCAAATGTGTTCTGAAGTAAGTCTTGTACTAACACTAGGCATCATAAAATCAAAGATAACACAAACAGCAGACATAAAATCAGAGGTCACACAAATGGCTGTAATATCAAGAGGTAACACATACAAATGGTGGTTAAATCAGTGGCAACACAATTTAAACAAAGGGAGATAATTCTGCTATTAAGGAGTTGCAGGTCCTGAATTTGGAACACTGCAAATCCTCCTAGTATAAAAATGTATACAACAAGGTATAGTCAAACCTAGTAATCTCGAACTCAGCAAAAACTTTGAGATAACTAAATATTTTATTTCAGTGAGTTTGAAAATTTTGTGTACAGCTAGGCAGGGACCAACGAAATGCTTCAAATTAAACGGGGTCTTTGATTTATACAAGTTCAAGATAATGAGGTTCCACTGTATATTGTCCTTGATTAAGTGAAAGCAAACTTATGCTCCACATATATAAAATTTTAATAGGGGCACTAAGTCATCTATATAATTACACTCAGGAAACAAAAGTTCTAAAAAAGGGAAATAGCTCTGTAAAAGTATTGGGCTGCAAAATCTAAATTTGGTACACTCTATACACTACACTGCAGTTTGTATAACCAATGTATAAAACAAGTGAAATGCTAGTTTAAATGCAAGCAAACGTAAACTATGGACATAAAAATTTAAAAAAAAAAGGGCAATAACTCTGTAATTGAGGAGTGCACTATACCTTGTCTTTTTATGACCAATGTGTAAATTAAATTTCATAATCCTTGCAGAAGTTTTTTTAAAGTTCTGCTTTGGACATGAAAGGAAAGATGAATGGATGGACTGACAGATGGACACCAATGGGCAAAACGGCAACTATATGCAAAAATTTTCCATCCCGTTAAAAGTAGAAAGATTGAAAGAGATGAGATTTTTTTACTGACTAAATCACAACATAAAAAGAAAAAATAATAATTTGAAATTACATGGCATCTGGATCTTTTGAGAGTTTGTTTCGTTCCTTAATCCACATGTCTACCAGATGTTGAGATACAGGGAATCCATCCTCACAAAGCTTGATAGAAGGAGCAAATAGCTCAGACCATGATAGACGACCAAATTTATCGTGGGCTGTCTTGTATCCACGGATTTCAGAGGGAACGGCGATAGACTTTCCTCCTATAACAAATGAATGTGATGTCGTAAGTGGCAATATTTTGTATGTACACATGTTGTGTAAGTTATAAACAGATAGTGCTATTAGCAAAATATGTTTACAGAAAAAGTTTGGTCTTTTTTAAATGTTTAAGACTTTCTGTACGCTGTTTTAAAAACTGAGAGCATAAAAGATTATCTATCAGTGGAAAACATGAATAGATTTTTATAACATTGATTTTATTACAATTAGCTTGGCTTAGCTTGAACATTTTTTAATTCATTATATCCTTGATAAAAATTTAAGAAAAAGTTAAAGAGACTTAAATTGATGCTCTGTAACATAATTAAGAATTCTACCAACCCACTTCCGACTCCCCAGGTTTGTTCACATACATATTCTCTGTGGCAGCGAGTGGTGCAACTTCTCTGGCATCAATTGTCATTGATTCCTGGCTTGTTCTGTTGTACACCACCATGAAGAACCCTCCACCAATTCCACTACTTTGTGGCTGGATGACAGAGTAACAGATCTGTACAGCAATGGTAGCATCTACAGAACTTCCACCCTTATCCTCAAGAATTTTCCTGTAAATACCACAAAGAGTCTGCAGTTGTTAAATGGTTTTATTGTTCAGTGAAAAGATATGATAACTCTGACTGGGGAAGGGAATAGGTTGTGTGTTGGGTGAAGGGGATGAAGGGGATGAAGGGTGTGTGTGTGTGTTGGGTGAAGGGTGTGTGTGTTAGGGGAAGGGTGTGTATGTGTGTTGGGGGAGGGTGTGTATGTGTGTTGAGGGAAGGGTATGTTTGTGTGTTTGGTGAAGGGTATGTGTGTATGTGTGTTGAGGGAAGGGTGTGTGTGTGTGTTGGGTGAAGGGTGTGTGTGTTAGGGGAAGGGTATGTGTGTGTGTTGGGGGAAGGATATGTGTGTTGGGTGAAGGGTGTGTGTGTGTGTTGGGTGAAGGGTGTGTGTGTTAGGGGAAGGGTGTGTATGTGTGTTGGGTGAAGGGTGTGTGTAAGTGTGTGTTGGGTGAAGGGTGTGTGTGTGTGTGTTGGGTGAAGGATGTGTGTGTTAGGGGAAGGGTGTGTATGTGTGTTGGGGAAGGGTGTGTATGTGTGTTGGGGGAAGGGTGTGTATGTGTGTTGGGGGAAGAGTGGGTATGTTGAGGGAGGGTGTGTATGTGAGTTGGGAGAAGGGTGTGTATGTGTGTTGCATGAAGGATGTGAATGTTGGGGGAAGGGTGTATATGTGTGTTTTGGGAAGGGTATGCGTGTGTGTTGGGGGAAGGGTATGTATGTGTGTTTGGGGAAGGGTGTGTGTGTTGGGGGAAGGGTATGTGTGTGTGTTGGGGAAGGGTATGTGTGTGTGTTGGGGGAGGGTATGTATGTGTGTTTGGGGAAGGGTAGGTATGTGTGTTTGGGGAAGGGTATGTGTGTGTGTTGGGGGAAGGGTATGTGTGTGTGTGTGTTTGGGGAAGGGTATGTATGTGTGTTTGGGGAAGGTTATGTGTGTGTGTTGGGGGAAGGGTGTGTATGTGTATTGGGTGAAGGGTATGTGTGTGTGTTGGGGGAAGGTTGTCTGTGTGTTTGGGGAAGGGTATGTGTATGTTTGGGGAAGGGTGTGTGTTGGGATGGCAGGGGAAGGTCTCCTTGCAGTAGCTGATAGCTGGTAGCTGGTAGCATTGTATGCCATCAAGAGCATTTAAAGCAAAGTGTTATGTTCAAGGACACACCCACATCAGCACAGCCTCAGCTTCCACACAAAGCATCACAGGACAAGAATCAAACCACACTCAATTTTTAACAATTTTATCAAGAACATATTATCAATATTATAAGTTATGAATATCAATTCTTACCTGCCAATTTCAGAACAAATAGGGCTATCTGTTGCCAGGGCAGCATGTTTAAATTTGCCAAGGCTGGAGGGGGATGGTCTCGGACTTGGTGTTCCAGATGATATGCCATTCGTCAAGAAAAACAGACCCACCGCCAAGAGAATGATCACCAGCAGAGCGAAGATCACAAACAAGCAAAACTGTGTTCTGTAAAGAATTACGGCTTCCAGTCAGTTATTATCTCCCTTTGGATATTCACAGTTATGCGACCAGTAAGTACGGGTTTTTTGTATGTGTAAATAATAACGACTATCACCTCATATACAAACTTAGATAAGTATATTATATTCTAATGCAATTACAGTACTGACAAAGACCTACCACCTATTTAGGTGTATAGAAATTTCTCTCCATAGAAATAGAAAAATGGGGCAAAGCCACAATTGGCTGGGTTTCGGGATGAGTACAATGTTATACGGTATTTTTAACACACTTAAAGGTGTTTCATTTGTTGAGTATGTAGAATATTTGTTATAAGAGAGGAAGTTTGGTTGTATTTTATGAATTGGTGCAGTTTGTAGTAGTTTGCATAACAAAATAACAAGAAAAGTTTCAGAAAATGACGAAGTTCCAAAGCCCTGAAAATCCAGAAAAATGTCTGGAATTAGTCTATAATAGGAGGTGCACATCTTCAACATATATATAAACATCCTACAAAGTTTTCAAGCTTCTACGTAAAACACTCTAGGAGGAGTTGATTCTACAAAATAGGTACACCCCTTTCCTTCCAAACTGCGGTAAAAATGACTAAGTTCCAAAGTCCAGAAAATCCAGAACAATGTCCAGAATGAATCCATAATAGGAGGTGCACATCTTCAACATATATGTAAACATCAGACAAAGTTTCAAGCTTCTACGTCAAAAACTCTAGGAGGAGTTGATTCTACAAAACTGGTACCCCATTTCCCCGCCCGCCTGTCTGCCATTTACCATACTATAACCTGGATCTGCACTATGTGCAACCCGGCCAAAAATCAAATTTTATAATTATTATCATGACATTCTTAATTGCTGTCAACACATAAAAGGTCATTAGGGTCATTAACTGGTGAAACCCACAGTGACCCAAAATGGAATAACATCAAACAAACTAAAAGGTAAAAGACAAATGCTAAAAATCTTAAATAGTTATATTATTACAAAAGATTAAAATGGTAAGTCATAGTTTATAATATAGACCAACATTTTTCGTTTAACTTAGAATGAAATCTCAACAGTTTTAAAAAGGGTCTTTAGACTTGTAATGTTATGATATTAAAATTCTCGCGTAGACAGAAGGTCAATGCAGTCCAATAAAAAATGTTTAACAGTGAATCACATCCTATGCACTGAGAATTACCGATGCCTTTAAATATATATGAATGCCTAAGGTATTTTACAAAACACCCCAAAATATGAATCTACAGGAAAGGAAGTCTGACTGCTAAGCTAGCATATCTATAGGTCTTTTTGAAGACCAGTATTTTTGCTCAATAGTGTGTAGGCTGTCTTTATTGCGAAGATTTATTTAAAGGATAACTATTATTATTGAGAAAAACAAACAGTTATTGTCATAACTCATAAATAACATTTTATGAGTTATTTATGTGACATTTTACAGGTAAATAAAACTACATATTGCACTTCACAGTCAATATTAATGAATATGCATGGAAAAAAAGTCAAATGCAATTAGTAGGATGTCATAAATCCAGATGATTAAATATCACACAAAGATATATTACCATGTTGTGTTTAGAACTTATCTATATATATCATTGGGGATTCTATTGAAATGCCAGGTAAACAGGATGTTTTATGTTAGTAATAAACACTATAAGGAAAAGTGATTTTTTCACTATTTACATAAGCAGAAAGAATCAATACTGTAAAATAGAAATTGTCGGCTAAAAATTGAGCCCCGTCACTCCTAACTATACATTTCTATTCATCGTGACTTTGGTGTTGGAAAAACATTCCTATCTCCCTTACTTTTGGAGGTATTGATCTACTGATTATATCTCATGAAACTAGAGAAAATGCTGAATAACTTTTGTTCTCAGTCAATTTTGTTTTGAAAAATATTACTTGGGTTTTTTGCGAGTTAAAAATACAAGGCATTTTTTCCTGAATATTTTGGATTAATGACATCATGTGCACGGCGTATGTAAATGTTTATTTGTGGGTCCGGTTTGTATTCCACATATATGTTCAATATGAACAAGAGATTTCACTCAAATTTCAATACCTGTATACCTAATATTCAAAATCTTATGCATGTTCCACCACTTTCACGTAATTTTCTGCAAAAATTTAGATTTGACACATCAGATGCTTTTCACCTGTACTGACCCCCTTACATAAAGGTCAATAATTTCCAAAACCTTCATAGCCAGACCATTACATATCTAGACTCTACACTATACAACTCCAGATTATTTGTGTTACCCAAAAGAGAACTTTCTAAATGTAACCCTCTCCGAAAACTGGAAGTTGACAAATGACACAATATTCTTTTACTACATGTTTTATCAACAGCAATTGAGAGCAATATGCAAATGACTAAATAATGGTCCCCTGTACCTCTTGGTTACTGAAAGGAAGCCATAACAAGATTTTAACAAAGTAGTACCCTGTGACCTCAAAAGTGGGTTAAGGTCATTCATATTATCAAACTTGATAGTTATAATGACCGGGTTATCTTACAAGTAAAATATCTAAATTGCAGACTTTGTGGAACTTGAAAAGCAGTTTTTCAAAGTCTGTTACCCAAAATAATGTTTCTGAATTTTAAACCTTAAACCAGAAGTAGACCAAGCAAAATACTTTTACCTACAACTGTCGCTAGCAACAGGCCTTAGTAAGGAACTGACTAAATACCATCACATTGTGTATCTTGAATACTGGTTATAAGTCATTTCTAGATTTCTAATGAAATAGACTTCTGTGACCTTCAAAGTGGGTCAAGGTTATTTATATTAAAAAGTTGATAGCCTATAACTACAGCTTCCTGAGTAGGAAATATAAAGGCTCTTGGCTTTGTCAATCTTGAAAAGAAGCTTTTCAAATTTTGTTTATCCAAAATAGCAATTTTCAAATCTGACGCCATTGAAAACCGCAAGTTCAAACTTCAGACAAGGTTTTATTAATAGATTTCTTAGCAATTGATCACCGTAGGCTGCTGACAAAATTTCATCACTGTGTCCCTCTTGGTTGTTGAGAAAAAACTATTTAAAAGTTTTGACATAATTGACCCATGTGACCTTGAAAGTTTGTCACATTATAAAACTTGATAACTTGAAGATAATCTATTTAAAATATCTAGCCTCTAGGCCTTGTAGAAGCTGTCAAAAATTTATTTCATAAAATTTCCAGTTCAAACTTTGACTCCAACCAAAATCCTGAAGTTGACATTTTACAAAAAATGATTCCTATGAAATGCTATTTATTTGTTATTTTACATAGCATGTCTGAAGATGAATTAAATTAATACAGCTATTATCTAGATATGGTAATTTAAGTTAGAATCCTATATGACATCATAGCAGTTATTTTGTTTTTTCTGATGAAGTTGAAAATGTCACTAAATAGTAGAGACCATTAGGAGAAATCTTAGATACAGACCTAAAATAAGTTATACCAATTTGTAAGCATTTCAAAAGATCAAAAAGAAACTTATAAAATGTCATTAAACATTAACAGTAAGTGCTGAAAAAATCAGAAGACATTAAATTCATCAGAAAAAGAAATATTAAAAAGAAACAATTCATTTTTTAAAAATAGAAATTTCTGAACTTTGACCCAACAGCAAGTTTTTCATTTGACATTTTTTTTTCATTAAATGTTATATGAATAAGCCAGATATGGAAATTATCTACAAATAACATAATTACACAAACTCTGTACAATAATTTTCGAGATATGACTATTTTAATGTTTTTAACTTATGACATCATGGCGACTATATTGAATACTGTTAGGTGAAAAATGCTTTAAATTATTCTGGAAAACTGGTACTTTAAACATAAGTTGATCATAGTTGATGTCATACGTTAAGTTTAACCTCTTCCAACATGAATCTTCTTTCTGTTTATGATTGATACTACACAGTTCAGTCCTCTCATCCGCACGAAACATTATGTCAATTATCTTCCCAGGTCACAACTTGACCGCTCTCTTCAATACGATTTCACTGGTGACTAATTATATTGTTTTTGTATAATCTGCGACCACAGGACAACTTTGTATAAAATGTAAGTATTTTCATCAACTGAAAATCAAAATGGAAGATTTCTGACTCTGGCTAACATGAATTTGATTTATTTCTCTCAAATGCCTCTCTAGGTCCACACAAATAAAATTATCCTGAGTTTTGAATGACAACTCACGGTTCCTTTTGTATTCATATGTATATCATAAGAAGCGGTGAATTACATAGTGGAATTTGGCAAGCTGGCCAACATATCTTCATTAAAGTAAGATCCACACACAATACAGCCTGGATATATTTTTTGTAGTTTCAGTTCAGGATTTTTTTTGCATGACCACAGACACCTTTTCTTAATACATAAAATCCTTAAGATATTCAGAATAGACTAGCACAGAGTTATACGAGAAAAAACAAAAGCCCTTTAGGTCACAAAGTGTAAGAGGAACTGGTGTCCTATTCCAACACTTCAAATACAAAAACTACTTTAACAATAACAATACTATAATATAAACCATTTTTCAGACACATCTGCCACCAAAGTCAATACTTGTTAATATTAATCAGATAGTAAATAGTATGTAGTGTAGTGTATGTATGAGAGAGAAAATAAAATAACTTAAAACATAAACAAGAAAGAGAATTTGCTGTACTTACGATCTTTTGGGACGATGAATCACCAATCTACAGCATCAAATCCAAAACACTGGTATATAAAATTGTTTAACCACTACACCATGAAAAAATCCCTTAAACTGAGTTGTAATATTGTGTTGAATAAGTTAATTGTATACTAACACCCAAAGGATGCATGACCACGAATTTGTACAAAACATGTAAGTGAATAACACAAAACATAGAAATGTGTCCTACCATTGTTTGAAGTTCTTTTAGGACTCGTAAGTGATATTAGCGACAACTCAGCGATTAAAATGAATAGACAGGTACAAACACTATGTTATTATCATTTACACAGTACACGAAAGTGGACATGTTTTGAGTTGGAAAGGACAAACAAATTATGTTTATAATGAGTTTGTAATAAGGAAAACAGAATGTAGTCTTGAGATTTGCTCATGTGTCACTTGCTAACCAATTTTATTGCGCTTTGAAAATGGGCAAACTTTTTGTCCTCATTCGTCTTTGCAGTCCCTCAATGTGTAGTAGAGGCTGTTTAATGTTTAACAATAAATGTACATGTGTGAACAACTGAAAAGAATCTTTCCAATAAGAATTGGACCAAGATGTAAGGTGGAGATCCTTCATTGCTTTATAAACTTACACAAAAGATCCCAACAAGATCTTGACACCAACCTTTGCATGGTTTTTATGAGTTCTATATTAGTTTTTCCTTATTTCCTTCCTTTCTGATTGGTTCGTATACCAAATAAGCACATCTAGTCTGTCTATGGTTCTAGGGGAATCTATATATTAATGTTTATAAATAATCCATAAACACATAAAACTCAACAGGCTTCTCCTTGTAGTTAATCAATTACATAACCAGCTGACTGTGACTTCAATATTCTTAGAAAGTGAATACATTCTGTCTGGCAGTAATATTTTCTTTTTTGTAGATAAATTAACATAAAACATCACTCATCTAGAATTAACATAAGTATGAATACCAATTGGCATCTTTATTATGCAAGATATGAATTTTATTTCCGCTAAAACACAAGAAAATATTAATGTACTGTTAATCTATTATGAAAAATTACAATCATCACATCACACGAGGTTAGATTAAATCATTGTATCACTACTACATATTGTTTTGGAGAGAAAAATGAAAATATTGCCTCTTAAGAAATTGTAATGATATTTTTTTCTATCAAAATCAAAGACTTCTATCTGTCAGTTATTTTATTTTTCTGATAATTTCTTAAATGGACCATGTTGAAATCCAAGGTGGTTGCCAGTCAGCCATTTTGTCAACACAACTTCGGACCAAAGGTATTTACAATAAAATCTGAAAATGATTCGTTTAGAGACAACTTTTCAAGAAAGAACCACAATAATGACCACATGGATCTGTTAATCATTTTGATTTTCTCATCAGTCTCTAAACAAAGAATGCACAACTAGAGACAAAATGAAGCCCAAATTTAAGACAGATCCATGTAACCCTTCACAAGATAGGGCTTCATGGATGTTTAGTTCAGACCATGGGCAATTTGAACAGCCCATTACATGATGAAGGTCGGATAAAGAAACATGCAGCTGTATGAATAACAATGACAGATGGTATTGAAAATATTTGAGTGTGATGAGGAAAAGGAAGAAGGAGGAGGTTCTTATATACCAGGTAATTAAAAAGCTGATAACTTACAGGTAAATTCCAATGTGTTTTGAATTTAAAATTTTCTTATCCATTGGGAAACAAATTTTCAGAAGTAAATTTTGGGAACTAAATCCCAATGTGAATGTGGTCCATATTCAATACCACAGAGAACCTGGAAAATGGCCTGGTCCCTATATGCAATCACCTTTAACAAGTTATTTTAATTCTGGTTTCCTCTCACAGAAACCCTAATTAGAAAGGTGAGAGCAGGATTTACCAATATTATTGCACCAGAGTTGGACAACTTAGTCTGTGGAGGAACTCATGATCAGTTTTCATGTACATGTAACCCTGGTAAGTACTAGCCACAATATACTTCTCAGTTAGAGAGAATTTTTCTTTAGCTCTGTAACCCTGGTAAATACTGGCCACAATATACCACTCGATGAGAGAGAATTTTTCTTTAGCTCTGTAACCCTGGTAAATACTAGCCACAATATACCGCTCGGTGAGAGAGAATTTTTCTTTAGCTCTGTAACCCTGGTAAATATTAGCCACAATATATTGCTCGGTTAGAGAGAAATTTTCTTTAGCTCTGTAACCCTGGTAAATACTGGCCACAATATACCGCTCGATGAGAGAGAATTTTTCTTTAGCTCTGTAACCCTGGTAAATATTAGCCATAATATACCACTCTGTTAAAGAGAAATTCTCTTTAGCTCTGTAACCCTGGTAAATATTAGCCATAATATACCACTCGGCTAGAGAAAAGCTTCTCTTTAGCTTGATTGGTTCAGCATTACCAGTTGAGCGGTATATTGCTGTTCCTATTTTACTATGGTTACATAATTCCTGCCAGGAAATACAAAATGTATCTTGTCCTCAAGTTTCTAGGGGTTACAGTGATGCTTGTGAAAGTAACACTAAGTATCATTACTGGGTTGCTTCGTGGGCAGCAACGTAACAATGGTCATCATTTATTTTAATGTCTCTGCTAGGATTCAAACCCGTGACCCTGGCTTACTAGTCTGAAGCTTAACCAATTGAGCTAAAGAGTTCTCTCTCCGAGTGGTATATTGTGGCTAGTATTTCACCGGGGTTACATATTCCTTGTAAAAACTGCTGACATTTTGATAATATATTAATAGTTTCAGTATTTTCTTCTCTTTTTTTTAATTTTTTGGTAAGATCAAAGACGTATATATGTTATATATGTCTCTGGTAAGATTGAGACAGGTTTAAGAGAGCCGCAGAGGACTCACTGTCACCGTGCTGTAACGTGTACGTGAATACATCTTAATTCTCTCACCTAGACTTTTTGTCCTTCTTTGTCACTCTTCTCTTAATATCCTGTTCGTCATAATAGCTAACAAATTCCGAGTCACTGTCTAGTAAAAGCGGTTCTCGCTGTTCTGGTTCGGCCGACATCCCAGCTGATCGTGTTTTCGCCATCTTTCCCCTGACAACTCGTAAATGACATTACAATCCTAATTTCATCAATTACGTGTCCTTATCTTAATGCAACGTTTCACTAAATATGCGTAGTCATTCTTTAGTTCTAGATTCTCACCTACTCTATTTGGAATTGACAGGTTACTGTTGTGTTATTTTAAGACCTTCACCTTTCTAGTCTCTAGGTCTTTGCGACGCTTGAATATTAAATGCTGCTGATCCATATATATCACCAGTAAGCGACATGTGAAGTTGTGACTTGTCCACTAAAAGGCCGAAAGGTCGACGTAATAGTGAATGTAAAACTCGTGAAATAAAAGGACGAGACATTAAATTGTGTCTACAAAAAGAATTTACAGCTATTTCTTATCAGCCAACCAAGACGGTAGTGTAAAAAAAAAAAAACCGGACTTCGGATATTTTATTCTAGGTCCGTGGAAAACCAAATACATATCAACTTAGTTAGTAAGATATCGTTGAATTTCCCCACATTGAAGTAACACAATCCTCCGTAGAACACGTCTTAAAACAAGTAAATCTCCTCGACAGGGACTTTGGTCCTGGGCGTACGATCCCCCGCCGATACCATGAAACGAAACCTGGATTTGTTTTCTAACCAGACCTAAATTTTCCGCATCATTTCGATCATTCGAGGTGAAGTCACTCAACCTCCGAATGTAAGATGTCCCATTATCAAAACTGCAGAAGACTACGACAACCAAGGTTCCACATCTCCAAGAAAGCATGTCTTTCTCCTGTAGCTTCTTCCCCTGGAGTGGTAAACGGCACCAAAGTCAAACGGAAGGAGTTATGAAAAACATCATGTCATCGCTGGGGTTCGAACTACCCGAACACTCTACTGCTCGACTAAAGGGAAATTCCCACCAGCCTAGACAAGTAAGGTAATCTGTGCTCTCGTGATCAGCTTCCACAACAGAATATAGCGCGGGTATCTAAAGTAGGAAAGCTACTGTACGTTTGTCTTTCTCCACCCTTGCTCAAATCAAGCTTATACTTTAAGACACTGACCATGTATTCTGTGCTGTATACATTTCGTTTGTTTTATTTTTTTACAGGATGCAATTTTGGTAAAATTTTTAATCATATTATAATTAAGTGTTCATTGGCACCTTTGTAATCACCTCTAACACCAAATGTATTCATGTGTCGGAATTTGACGATTATTGGTTCACTCTCTGATGAAGCAGACGACAGACACATGGTAATATTTGGATTTATTCTCAACCCCTGTCGGCATTACTGAGAATTCCAGGTGGACACAGCTAAAACTAAAATTCCTTTTTCTTTTTAAACACAATTTTTCATTTACAATATCTATGATTATTCGCCTCACATCATTAGTCTAGTGTATTTCGGATGTAAAATGATGTCATTGCTTAACATGTCCCGGTCAGCTTATCCGGATTTATGTACAAACTAATAATTAAAACAAGTTCCGGAATGAAGTTTTTTCCCCTGATATACCATCGACAACTTATATACAAAACACTAGAATGAAAATAAATGCTGGGGATTATTCAATTCATACTTCTCAAAACTTAAAGCACCAAATTAGCCAATACTATGTTAATGAATACAAGATATTTCATTCCTTTTTCTAAAAGTCATTATATTACGTACGATATGCAAACAGAAGCTGCGCTTCAGAAAAGAAGTCCTTATAACGCAACCAGTAGAAGATTAGAGTGTGACGATGACTACACGGTCACCTTCATCTTATAACACAACCAGTAGAAGATTAGAGTGTGACGATGACTACACGGTCACATTCATCTTATAACACAACCAGTAGAAGATTAGAGTGTGACGATGACTACACGGGTCACCTTCATCTTATAACACAACCAGTAGAAGATTAGAGTGTGACGATGACTACACGGTCACCTTCATCTTATAACACAACCAGTAGAAGATTAGAGTGTGGCGTTTGGATGACTACACTGTCACCTTCATCATATAACACAACCAGTAGAAGATTAGAGTGTGACGTTTTGATGACTACACGGTCACCTTCATCTTATAACACAACCAGTAGAAGATTAGAGTGTGACGTTTTGATGAATACACAGTCACCTTCATCTTATAACACAACCAGTAGAAGATTAGAGTGTGACGTTTTGATGAATACACAGTCACCTTCATCTTATAACACAACCAGTAGAAGATTAGAGTGTGACGTTTTGATGAATACACAGTCACCTTCATCTTACAACACAACCAGTAGAAGAATTAAGAGTAACGTGTCGATGACTGCATTGTCACCTTCATCCTACAAATGACCAATGTGAAGCGATTTGACTCTGACTTCTGTTTCAGTCTTCCAGTCACTGGGAGAGATTGGTTCGGTTCCTACCCGAGATCGTTGCATTTACTTTAATTGACCAATTTGCATAAGCTCTGTAACCATGGTAAATACTAGCCGCAATATACCACTCGGCTAGAGAGAACTTATCTTTAGCTCTGTAACCATGGTAAATACTAGCCGCAATATACCACTCGGCTAGAGAGAACTTATCTTTAGCTCTGTAACCATGGTAAATACTAGCCACAATATACCACTCGGCTAGAGAGAACTTATCTTTAGCTCTGTAACCATGGTAAATACTGGCCGCAATATACCACTCGGCTAGAGAGAACTTATCTTTAGCTCTGTTACCATGGTAAATACTAGCCGCAATATACCACTCGGCTAGAGAGAACTTATCTTTAGCTCTGTAACCATGGTAAATACTAGCCACAATATACCACTCGGCTAGAGAGAACTTATCTTTAGCTCTGTAACCATGGTAAATACTAGCCACAATATACCACTCGGCTAGAGAGAACTTCTCTTTAGCTCCGTAACCATGGTAAATACTAGCCACAATATACCATGGTTACCACTCGGCTAGAGAGAACTTCTCTTTAGCTCTGTAACCATGGTAAATACTAGCCACAATATACCGCTCGGCTAGAGAGAACTTCTCTTTAGCTCTGTAACCATGGTAAATACTAGTCACAATATACCACTCGGCTAGAGAGAACTCCTCTTAAGCTCGATTGGTTGAGCATCAGACTAGTAAGCCAGGTGTTTCGGGTTCGATTCATAGCGGAGGTATTGAAATAAATAATGACCTCGGTTACATATGACTGACAATTTTGATTACATTAGAAGTATCGTGTTACATCTGGTTCAGTCAGGTGTCATCCGATAATAATTTGCAGTGGGATTGCATGAGTTAAGCCGATCTTGCTTCACAGCAACCCAAAGACAGCCATGAACGCTCGTTCTGTCATGCTCAGCACATGCGCAATTTCACTATGTGTCTGTTTATCATCACACACGACATGTGGTAATCGATATAGTGTTATGCAGTGAAGTGGTAAATATCTCTGGAGACTGTGCGGGTTTGGTTGTAATAATTGAACATGGAATCATCCCCAACTGAAAGATACCACGTGATTCGGAAAATAGCAATATCCATTATGTTACAAGCAGCATACGTGTTCTTCACATACAACTATATTTCAATTCCAGAAGTGTTGAAGTTCTCTTCAAAAGCAGCGAAAGCACGTTATGTTCGAATGGTGGCCGTAGATAATGATTGTGTGCCTAATAGTGGTATGTGTGATATACCGGAAGCAGTGATGAAGGATGCTTCAACGAAAACCACGTATTGTACAGCAATGAAACGACTTAACCAGTATAGTATACAAAAGCATCACCCGAATAGTGAGAGAACAACTGAACAATGCTTTATAACATTTCCAGAAGATTCTCCAATCACGGATAGGATTGTGTATACTTTAAGATGGCAATTATTCTCTGCGTCGACTGTGCTTTTAGCTATTTTAGATGTGGCCTTGCGAAGGCTATTCACTAAGTCAATCGATCCTATCAATGGTCATGCTGAACATCTCGTGGAGGTCAAGGTCAGAATTTTACACAACACAATGGAACAACTCGTATGTAACGTAATTGGGCAATTGGTATTATGCACTTACTTAACAGAGGAATCCATGAAGATTGTTCCCATTTTAGTATTGCTGTTTGTTATCGGTAGGGTAATATTTAAGCTCGGATACGAACAGTGTCCGTCCAGACGTACGTACGGATTCGCCATCACGTACATTCCAACGTTTATTACATATCTATATTGCACGTGGTGTGCTATGGTACATGGAGGTATTGCGGACAATAGCTAAGTTATATATAGACTCATTCAACCCTTTGACTTTGCTCTGTACCGTTAAATTGATATTTGCTTATACGATGTAATCTACATACCTATTTAAAATATTGGAGAACTTGTATCTAATTAACAAAAACTTCCTTTTTCTCTCGATGCTTCAATTTTTTGCTGTTTTACGAAAAAATAATACTAAACATTTTTCACAGAGGTCATAAAACGGATTAGTCCGGTGGCAGATACCATCAGGCGTGCATCGCGGTCCGTGCAAAGTTTTTTGCTGTTTCTATATCTCTGATATGTGCTCTTTCAAAATCTGTATGATGGCACTCTGTCATCCTTGGACAATCCGAACAACATGCAAATGAAGGCCGCTATGAGTGAATTTTTTTTATCAATTTCTCAGTAACAACAAATGGTATGGAAATCATTTTGCTGTCTAACTCCATGTTTTGAGGGATGAAGAATCAGAATAAGTCATTTCAGTGAAGAACGCACCAATCACTATGGTGAATAGACATATTGAGGCGGCCATTACTGAAAATCTTGTTTTTGTCAATATGTCAATAATTACACGTGGTATCAAAGTAATTTTCGTGTTCATATCTCAGGGGTAAAGCATCGGATTAGGCCATTCCAGTATAGATTACAACTGTATTTTCTGCAAAGAATGGACAATCAACTTGAGTGTGTATGTGACAAGGTGGCACAGTCCAGGGATCTGGCATGATACCTCATTTCAGTGATTTCTTTATATCATGGGAAATCGTGCTGACATTTTTTCAGTCCCATCTCAACCTCATCTTCATC